AGTGGATTTTCATGTCAATGTGTGGTTGCGTGTCAGAGTCAAGACAGACAGAAGGGCTCCCAGGCTGGCCTTGCTGGGGATGGTGGCATCGGCCATGGCCAGCAGGGAGGAGGGTTTCCAGGCTGCCTTTCACAGACAGGAAGGCTCTGAGCCTGCTGCCTACTGAGGCCACTTGGGCTGTCTGGGCTGCATGCCCCTGCTCGCCCCTGCTCGCCCCTGCTGGCCCCTGCTCACCTTTTCCTTTGCCCAGCTCCTTCCTGGAGCTCATTCCCCACCTCTCCCTGTGGCTCTGGATCCTGCGGTCCCTGGCCTTCTCAGCAGTCCCTTCCAGGGCACACAGTAGCTCCAGGGCACACACTACTTGTCCAGGGGTCGTCACTCCATCCGCTGCCCCAGCCTCTGCCCAAGAACTTTCCCTGGTCTCAGCCTTTCCCAGTGCTTTCTGCCTCCTGCACCCCGTCCAGCCTCTGTCCTGAGTGTCACTGTGGTGTGGCAGTCTCTCCCCTCACAGCGTCCATGTGTCCTGTCTCTGCCCCTTATCCTCACTGGTCCCTAGCCTGGGGCTTCCCTGAGTTTCTTCTAGCACGACAAAGTAAAGGTGTTCTGCTGGCGCTCCAGGAAGCGTGTCCATCTCTGCGCATCTCACACCCATTCCCACAGAGGCCCCTTTTGCGTTTCTCCTGCTGTAAGCCCACGAAACTCTTGGCTGTACATGCGCGCTGTGCCTGCAAGAGTGTCACTGCCTGGCTGGCTGGAGCGCTGTGTGTGCATCCCGTCCCTGCTAGGTCCCCAGGAGGCGTTTTGGGGCGCAGCAGGTTGTAGAAGTGTGTAGTGCAGGGCAGGACGGAAGAGGTGGGGACTGACTGTGTGAGCTTTGCTAGGCAGCTGTCCATTTTTATCTAGATATTTAGATCTTTTTACATTTTCCAATTGATACCCAATATTCTTTTTTTGGATTGATTGACTGATGTAGTACAGGGTCTCATTATGCAGTTTGGACTTATAGTGATCCTCCTATTTTCAGCCTCCCAGTGCTGGGATTACAGGCTTGCGTCACCATGCCCAAACTCCATCAGCGGCTCAGTGTGCCCAGGGTCAGGGCCAGCGTGACATGTGGTACTGGGGTTCAAACCCCAGTCCTGCGCTTGCCTAAGCAGGCTCTTAGTCTGCTGAGCTGTCTTGCCGGCGCTGATATTTAATATTCTTGAAAAAATTTAATTTCAGTGAGTAATTTTTAAAGAAGCTTCCTGTATGGGCAATTAGTGAATGTTCCTTAAATTTTTTACTCCCATTTTCATCTTGTTTTTTGAAATCTATAGCATTTTGAATATTTGTTGTTTTATGACTGCTAGCATTCAAATGTTTAAAAAGGTTTAATTTTTTATAATAGTAACATATATTGATCATTAAAGATTTAAGAATACTAAGCCTCCTCAGTTAAAAATTAGATTTATTTCCTTATGTACCTTTGAAAATATATGTATACTTTCCCCTGTAAAATTGGATTTAATTGTATATGTTCCTTTTGTTATAAACTTTTCTTATAAACTACTATTCTAAGTGAAATGTGCTTGAGATGTGTGTTCTCATGTTATAAAATAGTGTTCGAAGTGACTGGTACACACTGTGTGAGTGGCAGTGTTTGTTCAGCGATTCCCTTACCTGCACCAGGGTAAGTCTTGGTGTAATGTTGCAACAGTTAAGTATTAACAGCAGTTAACTTACGGTTTATATTTTGTGTTATAAACTAACATAGAACATTTGGCTTTCATAGGTGTATTTTATTAACAGATTTGGAGTTCTGCTGTGCAGAAGGCCCCTTTCCTGAGGGTCTGGGCCTCTTGGGTGGCGCTCCACTGGTGCCTGTGTCCTATGGAGCCCAGAGGACTAGCCCAGGTCAGACAGGTGCCATTCAGAGGTGACATCCTAAAAGTAGAAGAGAGATTTTCGGTCCTTTTTTGTTCAGAGCACAGCAGAATTTATTTATTATTTTAAATAATTCCAAGCCCTTAAAAAAGAAAGCACATCATAGGGGAATTAGACAAGGAAAAATGTAAAGTATTGATTTTTTTTTTCTCCGAATGCCTTCAGGGCAGCTTTGGCTGGCTTGAGTTGTGGGTATTGAACCACAGCAACCTGAGGCTGACTGCTTTGTTGAAGCAGCCACTCAAGAACTGAGCTAAGGGGCAGGCCATCAATGTAAAGTATTTTTTTTTTTATATGCTTCTTTTTTTTCATAATTTTATTGATAAACAGATAGCAGTGAGACAGTTTCAAATCAAATTGCTAGGACAGTTTCAATAACTAACACACTGCATACATTCTTCTTAATGGTTAATTGCTGTACAAGATGTGGACTTGAGATCCTATTTACAAACACCATTAGAACAAATCATTCTATTCATTAAGAGAATGTAACTATATATCTATCCCATCCACTTTGAATATACAGATACAAAATGGACATTCATCTGTATACCCCTTTTTGTTAAGTTCTGTTATTTGAATATTATAGGTGTGTAAACTCAGCAAAATATTCTAAAAGAGTCCAGTAGCCCATAATAGCATTGGGTCTTCTGTTTATCTGGCAATGCCAGAAATTATTGACCTGAGTTCCCCACAGCTCAACATAACAGCATGGCTTCCTATATTTCGTCTTCATACTTTTCTACTGGGTGGTTAAGACCAAGATAAAGCAGGACCTATACAACAAGAGTTGTAGCTTTTTGGTCTGAGAAGGTCAGTGAAATGCCCTCAGGATTTATCCTGAGATCCTGTACCTCTGATTGTAGAACCTTTGTCAGTGTCAGACATGTGGATGAGTCACGGCCATTGCTTGGCCGAAAACTCAAACTTGACCCAGGTCTATCACCGTGCACTAAACTAAAGTCAAAATGGATTAAAGATCTAAACATTAAAGGGGAGACACTAAATCTCCTGGAAGAGAAAGTAGGTGGAACTCTTGAAGACATAGGGGTAGGCAAAGACTTCATGGACAGAAATCAAATCGCACGGGTAACAGTTGAAAGACTTAACAACTGGGACCTGCTCTTACTGAGAAGTTTTTTCAC